TATTTAATACTATATGATATGGGCTATGTATAGTATACATGTGAGAGTGTGTTATGAAAAGAAAAGAAAATATTTCAAAACAGAACAAAACAGAGACTTTCAGAGAGCTCCTAGGGCCTGGGGAGGGCAGAAATCAGAAAAAAACAGGCTGTGTTTTGCTCAATGTTGCCCCCCCCCCCCGCCCCCAGGAGCACTCTATAAGCTTACTAAAGACTATCCATGCCCTTTATTTTGGCAAAAAACTGTTTTTTGCTCGTTTTTGTCCCCCCCCCCTCCCTCAGGAGCACTCTACAAGCCTCCTAAGGGCTATTCATGCCCTTTTTTATTAAAAAAAAAATATGGGCCTGTTTTTGTGAAAAATGGGCTGTTTTGGGGAGGTTTGCATAGTGCAAAAACTTTTTTTTTAAATTTGCCTCTTCAAAACCTTGGTGCTTCTTATACTCCGGTGTGTCTTATACTCTGAAAAATACGGTATCTTTTTTTTTTTTAACTTACTCTTCTGCCACATCTTCCTCCTCCTCTACTGGATTGAACGACTCATCTGGGGGGGAAAAGGAAAAAGAAAAATATTTTTTCTAATCTGAAGAGATTAACAGGAAATGGGAGGCGTTTGCACCTATGCAGAACAAGAGACAAAAAGATCCCAACTGCAAGTAAAAGCAATTTGGAGAAATCAGGCCAGCCACTGAAAGAAATCTCACCCGTTTCCTCTCCGGAGTCCTCACTGCTGTCATTTGCATGTTCCTCACGAATCTTGCCCTCCTCTTTCATCCGCTCCAAGTAGGCATCATGGGAGTCATCATCAGAACCATCATATTCATCGTAGGTCACATTCTTCATGCCCTAGTAACACACACAATGGGCTCCATGGATATGAGCGCAAGGGTTTCACTTGCCGCAAGCAGATAAAAATTCTTCAATCATCTTGACACCTAAAGCATGCAGAGATTCTACACCTGTAGCTGCCACCCCCACCCCCCATGCTCCTAGGCACACGAACTGCATAAAGAAAGTTTCTGGTACCACAAATTCCGCAGATGCCTCAACAACCAATTACATGCCGCTTCTCAGAATCTGCTAAAACACCCTCTCCCTCCCCAGGGAAAGGGAGGAATCATGCTGGTGACTTTAACAATGGATTAGAGGTAGAAGCCACTCCTGGAGCAAAGCAGGCTACTGCCCCATCCTTGTGGTTCATGCAAGGTTATATACTATGGTGATTAGAAATGTTCACCACAGCCATGCAGAGGAGACCTGGACCAAGAGGAGGAAGAGGAGGGGATAATCGCACAGACCTTTTTCTTCTACAAGGAGAGAACAGAAATTGAGAAGGAAGAAAGCTCTGGAGAGAAAGAGAAACCCCCATCCCACCCCAAGCAGATCAGGAACAGGACTAGAGAGCAATTGCCTTTCCTTGTTCTCTCTAGCCCACCCCCTGAAACAAGTACCTCCTTAAGTCCCCGATTCTTGATGTTCAATTTCTTCGCATTCACAAAGTCAAAGAGTTTGCCATATTCTTCTCTGCGGGGAATAGAAATCATAGGTATGTAGGACTTAGCATAGGACCAATATTCACCTGCCTATGGCAGAAACCGATCAAACAGGAACAGTACAATTTTTTGTTACTACTGCAGGGAACTGAGGGCAGGGAGAGAAGGGTGGTAGTGGTAGTGGTAGTGAAGGAGGAAAAGGATCAAGGAAGATGAAGATCAAATGAAAAAAAAGCATTTGAAATCATGGGTCACAGTAGCAGCCAAGCAATACAAACAGAATTTTTGAACCATAAAGGTTCTGCTAGCATCCTCTGAAATGGGAGACAGCTGATACATTACAACACAGCAACTGGGATGGGTGGCATCCCTCAACAGCTCTGCTGGATTTGCATTCCCTTACCTCTCTATGCTGCTGAAAGTATACTGTGTCCCTTGCTTGGTTTCTATCTCAAAGTCAAAGGAACGGGTTGTTGTCGTCCCACGAGCAAAGTTGACAAAAGCAATCTCATCAAAGCGGATGTGAACAGGTGGCTTGTGCACATAGATGAAGCCACGTTCCAAAGGATACAAGAGGCCCGAACTAGCCTTGTAGGAACACGTGATGCACTGGGCTCCAGAATGTCTAGCAAAGGGAAAGAAACATCAATGTAAATTTCATTGAGCAAAGTTGAAGGCATTTATTAAAAAAATACCCAGGCAGCTTATCAAACTGGGGAGCCCAAGCAGCCTTAGTTTATCAACGTTTGGCTTAACCTTAGTAATGAAGAGGAAAAATGACCGTTGAACGGTCCTTCTATGTGCGCTGCGAGGGGAATCCAAGCATGGGTTAACTTTGTCCATTAGCCTAGAGACTGAGTTATGTAAATTGATGGCCACGCCTCTTGACTGGACTAATTCAGTTTTGCATGAAGGTTCAGCCGATTTGAGAGATGCAAAAAGTAATACAGAAGTCAAAGGCAAGTCAGGTAAGTAATCGGAGAAAGGTAAGTCCAGACCCAGAACAGCCAAAGCCGAGGCCGGGTTTGGATTCCCCTCGAAGCGCACATAGAAGGATCATTCAGATAAGTCAATGGCCGTTCTCCTGTGAGCTGCTTGGGGAATCCAAGCATGGGACATGCCAAAGCAATACATTCAGGGGCGGGAGCGAGGCTGGTCTGGTGTCGTTGCCGAAGAAACCACCCTTTGCAGCACGCGCCATCCAAATGACTCCTCAGCCAAGGCATAAATGTCCACTTTGTAATGGCTGATAAAGGGCGACAGCGATGACCAGGTCGCTGCCCTGCATATGTCCTCTACCGAGGCCTGCATAGCCCAGGCCACCATTGTGGCAGCACTCCTGGTGGAATGGGGAGTGATGCGACTGGGAACCGGTCGGGACTGACAGTCGTAGGCGAGGGCAATACACGCCTTCAACCGATAGTGTGAAACAATGCCTTTTGCCCCATGGTGGCTGGTTGGAAAGACACAAAAAGGGCCTCCGCTTTCTGAACGACACAGTGCGTCGCACATAGCGGTGAAGTGAACGACAAACGTCGAGGTGATGCCAACGCCGTTCCGGGGGATGAGATGCATGTGGGCAGAAGTCAGGGAGTCAGGGAATGATCTCCGGCAACCTGTGGAACCACGAATTGACTTTCGGAAGAAACGTTGGGTCCAAACATAAGACGACTCTGTTCGGATGGAAGATGCAGAGATCATCCCGGACGGAGAACGCTGCCAACTCGGATACCCGTCTAGCCGATGTGATGGCTACTAAAAAGATAGTCTTAAGAGTCAGTAATCTGAGAGAGATGGTCCGAATAGGCTCAAATGGTGCAGCTGTGAGGGCCATGAGCACCAGGGAAAGGTCCCAGGTGGGGTAACGATGGACTATGGGTGGACTAAGATTCGATGCACCCTTCAGGAAGGCCCTGGGTGTTGTGACAGGGAGTGGCCCCACCCACCCCCAATCATGGTAGATAAAACCGCAATTTGGCGGCAGAGGGTGTTAGGTGTTAACCCCTTGTCCATGCCCATCTGTAGAAAGTCTAATACCTGTGGTATGGTTGCCTCGGTTGGGTCTGCGTCTAGCGCTCGACACCATTCGCAGAAGGCACACCAGGTGGTCTCATAGATACGGGTGGTTGACAGGCGGCGAGCCACCTGGATCGTGGAAATGACCCTGTCCGAGAAATGCTGATGACTCAGGATCGCCCGCTAACGTGCCACACGGCTAATTGTAGTAGTTGTGGGTTCGGATGGACGAGAACTCCTTGCGACAAGAATATCCAATCGTACGGAATCTGCGAGAATGACAGATGGACGAGGTTGGCATACCAGGGACATCTCGGCCACATTGGTGCGACCAGTAGTACCTCCGCCCGTTCTGCTAGAATCTTCAGGATGACTAGCGGTACAATTGGTAGGGAGGGGGAGGCATAAAGGAGGCCCTCTGGCCAAGGACTGCGAAGGGCATCGGTGCCTTCTGCCCCGGTACCTGAAACCTGGTGTAGAATTGCGGCAGGTGTGTGTTGTCGGGTTGAGCTACAGTTGACCGAAGTGGCAGGAGAGCTCTTGGAACAGGGCTGGGTGTAACCACCACCGCCTGATCCACCGTGCTCAACCAATCCGCTTGGACGTTTGCGGTGCCCGATATATGCTCCGCTTGGATTGAAAACAGATGGCTCTCTGCCCAGTGGTGTAGACGTTCTGCTTCCATCATCAGAGATTTGGATTGCATGCCCCCCATGCGCCTTGGAGGCCACACTGTCAGTGAGTATTAACACATGGTTGGACGTCACCAGGTCTCGAAACTCGTGGAGGGCTAGACAAATAGCTCGTAGCTCCAGCCAATTGATGCTGTTCCGCAGCTCCTGGGCGGTCCAATGACCTTGATCCAGGGCGTGGGCTCCCCACCCGAATTGGCTCGCATCTGTTGTAACTATGACCCACTCTGGTTCCTTGAAGAGGCATTCCCTGAGGATTCAGGACAACATCCAGCAACGGAGCGACAAGGACACCATGGTCGGTAAACGAGTCCTGGTCTGAAAATGACTGGTATGAGCCCTCTGAAAGGGGAGGAGAAACCACTGGAGTGGTCGCGTGTGGAACCTCGCCCAAGCGACAATGTCTATGCAAGATATCATCTTCCCTAGAAGTTGGGACAGTACTGCAAGGGAAGGTGACCTCTGATTGAACACTTGACTCACCAGGGACTGCAGGCTTCATTGCCTCTCCTGAGAGGGATGCAACACACGTTTCTGAACTGATGACAGTCCCAAGATGTAGAAGGGACGTGGTTGGGTGCAGATGGCTGTTTGGGAAGTTCAGTACAAAGCAATGATATTATAGAGTGTCGATCGTCAGCTGCAGGTCGCGACAAGCTTGGTCCCGGGAAGATGAGAACACTGAGATCTCATCTAGATAACAACTGACTCCTACGGGAACTGACCTCAGCAAAGCTGCGATCACTGCTAGCAATTTGGTGAAGGTTCGCAGGGCCAATGATAGGCTGAATGGCAGGGCGCAGTACTGGAAATGATGCCCTGCAAAATGGAAGCGCAGGAACCTTTGATGGGCCGGATGTATCGGCACATGTAGGTATACCTCCTTAATGTCAATGAAGGTAAGCAGATCACCATGGCGAATGCACGCTAGAATGCTTTTGAGCGATTGCATTTTGAATTTTTGGTACTTTAGATAGAAATTGAGCTGTTTCAAGTCTAGGATGGTCTGCCATCCCCCCGAGTTCTTGGGAACTAGGAAAAGTATGGAGTAAAATCCTAGACCCTCCTGCCCTCGTGGCACCTGTTCTATGGCATTGATGGAAATGAGGTCTGAATTTCTATTTCCATCAAGTGTCTTTTCACCTGGCACCTGGGAATCGGGCATCTGATAAAACATCTTGGGGGGATGGCTAGGAACTCTAGAGTGAGGCCCAGTCTCACGGTTTGAAGAGCCCAGGCATCCGAGGTTGTGGCTTCCCATTGGTGGGCAAAGGCAGCCAAACACCTGCCAAAAGGGCCAACCTCGTGCGAGTCACCGGTACCTACGAAAGGACCGGTTGTTGGCACCACGAAAAGGCCACCGGGCCTGGGTCTGTTATTGGTGTCTACCTCTGTCCCTAGTATTGGCTCTATCCTGGAACCTGTCCTGAGACTGAGAAAAGGATCTGTTACGCCTCTATCTGAGGCGTACAGGGAAGGGGAGTGTATCCCAAATCCCCGACACAAAAGGGCTGTCGCCGAGGGTAAAGTTGTTGCCACACTATCCGTGCACTTGGCGGTCGGAGCACCTTTCGCTTGTCCCTCATTTCAATCAATATAGGGTCTAGTGCCCCTCCAAAGAGGGAACCGCCTTTGAAGGGGGTGGAAGCAAGGCGCCAATTAGAGCGTACATCCACCTGCCAATGGCGTAGCCATAAGAGGTGATGAGAAGCTATGTTGGATGTCACAGCTCGGGATGCAAACTTGGCCGCATTGAGCGTAGCATCAGAGGAAAATTCTAATACCGCCACCAGTTTGACGACATCCTGATGAAGGCGCAAATCCTCTGGAGCTAATCTCTCCTGTAACTGTCTTAACCAGACAAGGAATTTCTATTGAAAAACGAGTTCCGAGGGAATCCAAAATGAATAGTAATAATGATGATCACTTTTGTCTAATAACCTAGAGAGAAAGGTTTTTGCGTCTCCTTAGGCTGGACTGAGTTAAAAAACTGAACTAGTCCAGTCAGAGGAGGCGTGGCCATCAATTTACACAACTCAGTCTCTAGGCTAATGGACAAAGTTAACCCATGTCTGGATTCCCCAAGCAGCGCACAGGAGAAGTACACAGTACAGGTAGTCCTTGAGTTGCAACAGTTTGGGAAGTGACTGTTCAAAGTTACACCAGCACTGAAAAAAGGGACTTATGACCATTTTTCACACTTACGATCATTGTAGCCTCTCCTTCGTCATGTGATCAAAATTCAGATGCTTGGCAACCGAGTCATATTTACGACGGTTGCAGTGTCCCAAGCACACATGATCCCCTTTTGTGACCTTCTGACATGCAGTCAATGGGGAAACCAGATTCACTTAACAACCGTGTTACTAACTTAGCAACGGCAGTGATTCCCTTAACAACTGTGGCAAGAAATGTAAAAATGGGGCAAAATTCACTTAACAAATGCTTTGCTTAGCAACCGAAATTTTGTGCTCAATCGTAAGTCAAGGACTAGAGACTCAATGTAGTTATTATTGTGTTATTCATTATATCCTATCACTCACATCTCAACGCCTTCTTTGCCACGCTGCTTTAGAACCAGCTGAAACTGATTACTTCACAATTCATCTGTTCCTACAATCTATATTCCTTACCCCTGAAAGTTGCCTGGTACAGTTATCTTGCGGTTCACAAGGGCTTTCATGACACGGCTGACCATCTCATACAGAGACCCAGACATATTTTTGGTGAGCCGTCCTTCAAAGCGCTTCTCGACTTCATCCCTTTAAGTAGAGAGAATACAAATCAAGACAGATTCCCCGTGCAATATTACAACACTGAGACATCAGGTGAGCCTCAGAGTTGAGAGCAGGAACAGAATAGATGGGAGAGATGCTCCATTCTAAAAGAGTTGACTATGTTGCTACCACATAAATGACCTTATTTTATATAAATGTTCATTTTTCACAATTATCTTACACATGTGTACATCTCTTATGAATAAATACAAGACCAAATACAAAGACTTTCAGGTTGCTTAACTATGGTTTAAACAATCTGTGAATCCAGCCATTGTGACTTACTTAACAAACAGAGGCCAAAGCAACCATGGCTGTATGAATCTTTTTTTTTAATTGAATTTAAAAAAAAAAATATCTTTTACAAATATTTACTTCCCTCCCCCTCCCCCCCCCCCCCCCCCCCCACCCCCCCCCCCCCCCACCCCCCCCCCCCCCCA